GAGAATTCCTACTCCTTTTGCAAAAAGTAAGCTAAGCCTCCTTCTGTTACACTTTCCCTGACACCTCTAAGAAAACCTAGGATTCTCTTATCTCTGCAATCCTTTTTACACCTACAGGTCCCTCCATTATTGAAATTTTCACAGTGTATTGTTTTGGGTTGTTAACTATTTGTTCCCTCAATAGATGCTAAGCAATTCAAGAACCAGAACTGTCTCTTTTAAATTGCACCTCTTCCTTTCCCAGTACCATGAAGGGCAAAATATAAGTGTTCAGTACATTTTTTGGTAGTGATCAGTAAAGTATACATTTATTAAGTGCATTATTAATTGTGGTCCTATGTCATTATATATTTTCTCATTTAGTAACTATTCTGTCATGTGTGCATCTGAAAAAAATGTGGTTTTAAGAAATATCCTCACATTTGATACAGTTAAGGACTGCCTCATACTCAAAATTTATAGCTTTACAAAAAAAAGTTTTCTGTGAATTGGTGCCTGCCTATTTTTCTAACCTCAAAACCTATCACTGCCTTCAAGACAACACCTACTGCAATTGCACCAGACTCCCTGTAGCTCCCTGAATCATCCCCGCTGCATCATGCCTGTGCCCGGGAGCCTCTGATTCTGGAATGGCCTTTCCACTCTGCTTGATAAGCTCCTACTCATCCTTCAATTTGGTTATCATCTCCTGTCTGTGGATGCCCTTGACACTTTATGCCCCATCTTACAAATGGGTGCTTTTATTCTTTACACTTCCCGGGGTCTTTACAAACCACCTCCTCACTTATCTCAATATCCTAAGTGCATATGTATACACCTCCTCCCCTTCAAGCTGGGAGTTCCTTTCAGATAAGGACAGTGTTTGATTCTGACTTGAAAGAGCAGATCTTATTGCAAAGCTTGACACACAGTTAAAGCTCAATTAGTAGTTGTCAAATGAATGAATGAATTGGTAATAGCTCTCCCTATTATGCAGGCTGACTGAAGGAGATGAAAATTACAGTCCTTGTTGTTTACTCTTTAACTACAAGACATCGAATTTTGTATTTCTCTTAGCTTATTGTGAGATATATTGGAATAAATAGCGAACATATTTTTACTAAATTTACATTACATTATTTTCCTAGGACAAAAATATGTCTGTGTACCACTCTTCCTTTATTTATTATGGCCCCAAACATCCCGCTATACAGTCTCACATTACCCTCTGTCTGCCATGTTTTAGGCTCATTCCCCAGACTGTCTTAAGAGTTATTTCTTGCCTGCACAACTCCATCCTACAAGAGGAAATTTCCCAACCACACATGAAAGCTGTCTATCTTATTTGTGGCTGAGAGAGCTTGAAGGAGAGTAAGTGACTGTGAGTATTCAAGAGTAAACTCAGTACATGTTAAAGTTTACAGAATCCTAAAGATTGAGAAGAGATTAATGGCTTGGATAGGAGTTAAAAATCTACTATTTTACCATACTTTTCTAATCCCTACAATTTTGGGGAAAATCATTTTTGCACCAAGAACTACAGACTAATAACTTTTTCTATTTATTTTACTGAAGCATTTTATATGCAGCTGAGAAATGACTGCTCATTAAAACTAAGTGCAAGCATTGATGATAAAATATTCTAGAATTTTTACATAGAAAACCAGAAACTGAAAGCATTCCTTTACATATGGTAAAGAAAAATGTGCAATCTTCATTTTCAAGGCTGAAGAGCATTTGAAACATGTATATTTACATATATACATAAACATATATACAGATACATTACACATATTTATTTTTGAATCAAGATGTCTATTACCATCATCATCATCATCTCATCATTATTATCATTATCATTATCATCAACTAGCACTTACTGAGCACCATTTATTAATTGTTCACTGGACTAAATGGCATTTCCCTTGCCAGAGACTGATAGAATTGAATAAAGATTTGTGAATTCTCTGAAGGAAGGGACAAGGGGCACTTCTTGAATAAATATCTGAAGTGTTGTTATCACCATAATCTAGAGACTCTCCACCAAATATCCACAGGAAAAATTAGAGTCAAACTCCTTTGATATCTTGTAAAAGATAAAAATCCTTGCTATATCATTGAAAAAAAAACCCGCAACCTATCACTTATTGAACTAACACTCAGAAGATCAGTCTAAAGCAAGGCGTTCAAGCCATAGACTTCTTTCGATTCTGCCTTGTAGCACTTCCATGTCTATGTTAAATAGTCTGTGGAACGCCCGATTCATTTTCTAAAGGCAATACCATTTTTTTTCCTCCGATGGTAAAAACACTTAACACTGGATCCACTCAGGACACGCCTGAAGCAGTTCACAGAGGCTGAGCTGATTGTGCTATTGTACACTTTGGTGGCTGGTCCTTTTAGGAGAGAAAGCTCATAATCACTTCACAATAGTTTTACCCCATGGGATTTTTATCTAACTTATTTCCAGATCAAGGGAATTTTCTTAAGCTAGACTGCAGAACCTTGTAGTGAAGAAGAGAACCACTGCTTATAGTTATTTTCCTTATTTTTTGTTTTTGTTTTTTGAAAGAAAGTGACTTTTAGAAGCGAAATTGTAAAGTTAAACACAGTCCTTTTTCAACCCTGATTTGCTTGTTCCATATTCTCTTCCTATTGAGCTATTTCTTTCTTTTTCTCCTTTATCGTTCTTCCTACCTCCATACTTCTCAAATAATGTTCTTAGTGAAGATGCTCATACCTCTCGATTACAGCTTTCTGTGAATTTAGCTCACAGTTATCTCTGTAAAAGGATTGTTTAAGTTTCCTTTTAAACATCATCCTGGCATGCTTAGAATTCTGCTAAAAATATTTCATATATCAGTGAATGAATAAGAGCAAACTCTTTTGCAATCAAAATTAGGTTTCTGACTTTTCTACCTAATTTAGTTCTGCTTAGATTAAGTAGCAATTTTTTGGCCAGGCATGGTGGTTCATGCCTGTAATCTCAGCACTTTGGGAGGCTGAGGCGGGAAGATCATCTGAGGTCAGGAGTCCGAGACCAGCCTGGCCAACATGGCAAAACCCCATCTCTACTAAAAATACAAAAATTAGCCAGGTGTGGTGGAGCATGCCTGTCATTCTAGCTATTTGGGAGGCTGAGGCAGGAGAATCACTTGAACCTGGGAGGTGGAGGTTGCTGTGAGCCGAGATCATGCCACTGCACTCCAGCCTGGGCGACAGAGTAAGACTCCGTCTCAAAACAACAACAACAACAACAAAGTGTTATTAATCACTACTAGTCACCTGGAGTACATTAGTCATGCTGTTCTCTTCTTCCTACCCTTTTATAAGGAAGTCATTCCACCTGTTGCAGAAACAGGATAACCTATGCTCAACCCTCCTGCTTAGAGGGTGTAGATGGTCTTGAACTCTAATTCTTCCAAATAAGGTTGCGTTGGTGGCTGTTCGTGAGACTAAAACACAAGCATGCTGAAATGTTCCAGATGCCTTCTATCCAATATTTTATTTGTAACCTGCATAAGAGATGTAAATAAAACTGACTTTTATCTTGATTCAGTCACTCCTCAGTTAATCACAAATGCACAGTTTAACATGAAATTCAATTTATACTTCTGACTTATCACTGCACAGTGTTAGATTATGTTAAAGAAATTTGATTCAGTCTTAACAAGTGCCTCAATGTGTGTTTTTTAAAAAAATTAGTGGTTTCTCTCATAAAACTTTAAACAAAAACTGAAGCATATAAAGTTATGAGATATATTTAATTATGTGGTTCTTGAAACAGGCTATGAATATTGTTCCCCATGGTAACATTCATAAATATTAGATATTTGAAATTTTAGTGGAATAAGTGTGTGGCTACCCTTGCTGAGTACTTATATAAAAAGAATATTGATTTGGATTATGAAACCAGTAACTTAAAATCATAAGAGTGTTGGCATTGGAAGGAAGGAGACCTTAGAGATACTGCTGCTAGTATATTGGAACCTGTCTGAAGCATTCTTTCAATAAATTTGAAGGAATTCTACATCAGTCCCATGGGCACTTAAGTTAATGGAATAAAGATTCTTATTTTTTGGTACAACATTTAATTTTCCTAGGGGTAATATTTTCGGCTAGTCATTGGCATCAAGACTTTAATTTGGAATTCTTTAAGCACAGACTCATCATTACACATTACACATATGATAATAATGTGAATTACAGCCTTCAGAAATGATGTTTACATCATTGCACCTTTTTTTCTCACTGCCATTCCTTCATCAACAAGTATTTATTAAGCACCTACGGTGTGCCAGCTATTATTTTGGGTGCTGCAGATCACAGTTATGAACTTTGTAGGCAAGACTTCTGTTTGAACTCTTGCATTTGTGATTTGTGGCATTTGTGATTAACTGAGGAGTGACTGAATCAAGATAAAAGTCAGTTTTATTTACATCTCTTATGCAGGTTACAAATAAAATATTGGATAGAAGGCATCTGGAACATTTCAGCATGCTTGTGTTTTAGTCTCATGAACAGCCACCAACGCAACTTTATTTGGAAGAATTAGAGTTCAAGACCATCCACACCCTCTAAGCAGGAGGGTTGAGCATAGGTTATCCTGTTTCTGCAACAGGTGGAATGACTTCCTTACAAAAGGGTAGGAAGAAGAGAACAGCATGACTAATGTACTCCAGGTGACTAGCAGTGATTAAAAACACTTTGTTGTTGTTGTTGTTGTTTTGAGACGGAGTCTCACTCTGTCGCCCAGGCTGGAGTGCAGTGGCATGATCTCGGCTCACAGCAACCTCCACCTCCCAGGTTCAAGTGATTCTCCTGCCTCAGCCTCTCAAAGAGCTTACGCTTTTTCAAGGGAGCCATATTACTATAAGCAAGCAAAAAAAATGAACGAATGAAGAATAAGGAAGAAAATAAGACAGTGGAATGTGATAGAAAATGTATGGCACTTTTATAGACAGTTTTTTGAGAGCATGAAAGACAAAAAAAAAAAAAAACTATGCAAAGCTATGAAAGAAGATTATGGCAGATCGAGAGATCAACTAGTACAATGGCTCTGAGAATAATGTGTAGGAAGCAGAAAGAGGATAGGCATTTGTGAGTGAGTCAGTCCTCCTCTTCCCAGGGTTTCTTTCACCTTTTCCCACTGTACTGCATCTGTTCAGGCCTATTCCCTCGGACTTTGCTCTATTCTCATCAATCTTATGGTCTTCTTGCTTTCAAGCTCTATTCATTCCTTATTGATACTCACAATGTCTTTCTGTATCAGAGTTCTATTTCCCTTGTCCTGAACAAAGACTGCTTATAGAGTAAACCAAAACCCTCAGGCTTCTCTCCCGTAGCCTCCATCATCTGACTCCAACTCCTAATGCTTCCACTCGTATGTCCTCTACTGCAAATGTACAGTGCTATTTCTCACCCTAATGTGTTTGTTCAGATCTTTCTCAAAAAGCCACCTTGCATAGCTCCTTCCTAATTCTGTTCATATGTTCAAATCCTGCCTATACTTTAAGCTATATACTCAAGACACTAAGATCTAACACTAAACTTTACCTTAAAATCTTCACTATTTATTATAGCCTGAAATATCCCCATTTCCTTTCAAAGTCTATGGCAGTTCCTATCTGTATAATTTATTTGTTCATTAAGTTCTGCTTTGTAATACCTTTTCTTTTATTAACAATTAATATTATTTACTTTTGATCTTTATTTATCTGTTTATATGGTTGTTTTTGGTCTCTCCAACTAATTGTGACTATTTTGAGAGAAAAACCATGTTTCATGTTCCTTCCATTATCTTAGCCAAGCCCAATGCTAAGGATATTATTGGTGCTCAATAACTGCTTATGATTTAAGTTCAGCTGAACATAACTCTGTCTGACTGAATACATGGAGGAATGATTTTGATGCACTTGCCTCTAATCTGGCAGTTCCCTTCTTCCACACTCATATAAAAGGAATGAGTTATTATGGTACATACAATACTAAAATAGAAAGTCTCTTCAATTCTTGCTCCAAGCCCTTTTCCCAGCAATATTTGTGAAATGTACATTAGCTCTCAACTCTATTGACTCAGAAACAGAAAATCTCAGGAGGTAACACAACACAGGCAAATTAATGATTTGTGAGTGATGAATGGAATGGCACTGAAATAGATGAGAGACCCCAAGGAAAGCTGTCTAGCCAACATGGAATAGGAGTAGCAAAGAAACAAATCCATTTAAATAAGTGCCATACCTCCTATAAAATCCTACGAAACCAAGAACAATCAACACTGTGAACTACTTGCTGATGCCAGTCTTGCTGATGGTATAATTTTCCTAAAAAAAGAAAAGAAAGAAAATTTTATGCACTAAAGGATAATATGTGGAATCTTTTATTTTTGACTATGGATATAATTTAGTGTAATCACTTATTTTAAAATGAGGAAATTGCACCCAGACTGGGAGAATCACTTGCAGAGACGACCCTGGTATGGAGACACTGCTCCCTATATCATTGCCGCCTGCGGGAGAGAGGCGCTATTTCTAGTGCAAAGTGGCAGTTGCAGGGACTGGTTTCAATTGTCAGCCTCTTTGCTGTAACTGGAATTTTCTCATGAGCACCCTCTCTCCAGGTCATGAATAACACTTAAAAGGCCTGAATCCGCTCACTCCCACTTCCTCCTCGGCCAATGGAAGGACTAAGTTGAGGAATCAGCAGGCTGTCTCAACCTACCACCTCATACTCCCACATACTCCCAGCACCCTTGTTCACATCCTGCCTCTTCTCTCAACTCCACATTGCTTGGTTCTTTCTCTTTGTTTTTGTTTTTTGAGATGGAGTCTTGCTCTGTCACCCAGGCTGGAGGGCAGTGGCACAATCTTGGCTCACTGTAACCTCTGTCTTCTAGGTTCAAGTGATTCTCTTGCCTTAGCCTCCTGAGTAGCTGGGATTACACACAGCCACCACCATGCCCAGCTAATTTTTTTTTTTTTTTCCCCAGTAGAGGCAGGGTTTCACCATGTTGACCAGGCTGGTCTTGAACTCTTGACCTCAGGTGGTCCTCCTGCCTCAGCCTCCCAAAGTGCTGGGATTACAGGGATGAGCTACCATACCTGGCTGGCTCTTCCTCTTTCCAGGGATACTCATCTTCATCTCTTTTTAACCACAAGCATTTCTCTGAAGGCACCTGGATCTTCTCTTCCGTTGTAAACCTCTTTATCTTCAACTGCTTCCTGAATTGTTTTGCCCCTTCCAGGCCTTAAAAGATATCTGGAAGTGCCTGAAGGATAAAAATTGTAATAAATGCATCTCAAATGAACGTTTCTTCTTCTCCTTCATTTTCCTTGCCTCTAGGTCAAAGAAGTGGTCATCATTCTCATTACCCTCTCTCTAGTGATTTTTCTAGGATATTTCTATTTAGACCTTAGTAAGAAAAATAACAAAGAAAAATAACTCTTGCAGCTCTTTTTACCTAATCATATAATTTGAATACCTCCTCATCATTAATATCTATCATACGCCTGGTCATTCATCCTTCTTCATTGCTTCCTTTAGTGTAGAGCATACCATCCTTTGGCCCAGCTCCATTTCTGTCTTCACCCCAGGTGCCCTCAGTACCCCTTGTTTTAAGCCACTGAACAACTGGTAACTTCCTCTCTGTGTTTTTATCACCAATGCCTCCCCCACCCTATTTCTGCCATCCACTCACTGCCCTCACCCTAAACATTGCTACTACCCAGTGTTATTTTACTTCTGAAACATTTCATTTAAATTCAGTTCTCAAATAACTTAATTGCCCAACAATAGGAAATGGCTAAATTATTGTCATTGCATAATACAGGATATCATGCAATTATTTATACGAATAAGGTAGATAAAAATATACTGATATGAAAGTTTACTGAAACATATTGTTAAATGAAAAAAGTCAATTAACAATGTACCTTAATGGACTTTTATCAGAATATTACAATCCATTTTTGTGCAAATAAAACATTTACAGCTGTGTGTATGTATAAATATATAGAAATTTTCCAAAAGGATAAAGTGCTGAGAGTGATTTCTTTGGGAAAAAGGTTAATAATGAGGACAATAAGGAGACATTTTAATGTTTCACCCTTTGTAGTTCTGTATGTCCTGAATTGCTTTCAATAAGAATGTATGTATACATTATTTGTAGAAATTTTAAATGCATATATATGAAAAAAACTCTTTACCACAATATTTATCTTTCTTATACTCTGTTACTCTCTTTACCTATATCTTGACATTATTGAGAATTTCTGGGATTTAACACTTTTTTTTTTATTGCCTCATGTCTTTCTTTCTTTGGCTCTCTTAGCTACCATTTTCTGATCACTGCAACAATCTTACCATAATTTTTAAATTTTTGCCCCCGATTTCCTTTATTATATCTACCCAGTATTATTCCACCTCAAGGTAGAGTCAACTGTCCACTTTATCTACATTCAAGTTTGTACCACCACATTTCTCTGGTTTTCTTCCTACATAGATGGCTCCTCTAAATCCATTACAGGTTATGTTTCTCTACCTCTGCCTATAATGTTAGGGTTTCTCAGGGTTTTGCATGAAGACCTCTTCTTTCCTCATTCTTCATGCTCCTCATAGTAGATTTAATTTACTTTTGAGGCTTTTAAAAAACCCTAAAAACTAAAGCTTAGTAATAATTCCTAGTCTTTACTTCATCTCATGCCTTTCTACTTTGTTCCAAACGCATATGTCAAGGTAATAACTCGTGATTCTCATGAGTACCTCAAACTCAGTATGTTCAAGATCACAACCTTCTTTCTTTACTTGGTTACTTGTTATCACTATCTCGATGAATGACCCCATCATGCCACAACCTGTGTTTTAGATGTGAATTATTATTATTCTCTGGTCTTTATATTCATTCATTCACCTAGTCTACTAATTCTACCCCCTAAATAACTATCAAAATTCTTGTTTCAAGCCATCATCACCACCTGCCTAGATTTTTGCAATGGCCTCTTGTCTAGTCTTTCTAATTTCTGCTTGTTTCCCTCTAGTTCATTTCTCATAAAGTCTAACTGAACTTCCTGAGATGCAAATCTGATCATGTCACTTCTCTGATGAAAATGATTTAATGATTGCCCCAACAAAAACAAGTTCAAATTCTTTATAGGACTAACAACAACCTTCACAAGGTACTACTGGCTATCTCTTCAGTTCATGTTATTTGATTCACTCTTTACCATCCATGATGAATCCATAATAAGCTCCTTCAAAATCTTGTGTTTTCTTTTCCACCTCCATGGCTTTACCAACTCTGGTCTTCTCCCCGGTCTGCTCTTCCACCACTCTGCAATGAACAAATTTCTATGCTCCATTCTAATATCAAATTAGAGGCAATTTCTCCCTCTGGATCCCAGAGGACATTTATATATTATTTTACCATGATTTTTATCACTCTCTATTTTCACTGATTTATTTGTCTGCTTCCTCTACTGAAGTATGAGCAAATCCCTGGAGAGTCTGGACAAGGTAATTTATTATAACATACATGGTTTGATACATGGTGGGAATATGGTATCATGCAAATATCAATGACTCTGGAAGATATTGCTGCAACTGCATTCTCTACCTTAATCTCAATGCCCATGACTTATACTGTCTACTGAACTTTCCCACCTCAGTAATATGTTTATGTAACTTCATGTGATAAGATTTTAACACATCTAAAATACATACTCCTTATGACCCAACCTTTTCAAATAAGCTGCTCTGCCTCCCAAAATCCATTTTTTTGGTGAATTTCACCAACATCCCCCCAACGCCACCCTTCTCATGGGTCCCTCAGCCTTCATCTTGTTCTTCTCAGGTCCAGGTTGGTCTATTTTTTTTCTATTGAGAATTTCAGTAATGCATCCTTTTTTCTTCTCTCTGTATTTTCTTAGTTCTCATTGCAACTTTGCGCAACTCTCTTGGAGAATGTAAACATAATCTCCTTTAATAACTAAATTTGTATAATTTTCTTCTGGTTATTGGTACTAAATTCAATTACAATATTCATTAAGAAGATCACTTTTTAAGATAATGATAGATATTTTGAGCTACAATCCTCTTGGTATGCATTGGGAAAAGGCTCTTATTCTGATGTTCTAAAATAGACCATTTTTTCTTATTTCTTGGGATGTGATTAAATAAAGATTTATCAACATCAGTCAATTAATGTAACTGGACAAGGAGTAAGAATAGATACCTATCACATAATACCATTGTCTGCAGGGGTTAGCAGTCAATTGGCCAGGGCAACAACCCCTAAAATCCAATTAGTAGAGTAACTCTGTTCCAACGAGAATGTAGTTGTTTCCTTCCACTCTGCTAATTAGTGACCCTGTATTTGATAATTTTAGAATACATATTTTCTTGAAAAAAATTTATGTGTTCTGAATACTGGAAAAAAAAGACATTGTTTTCAAGCTTCTCACTGAATCTCTTTTATAAAATATAAAATGTTGTGGAGACAGTGTTGATTAGGATGCCAAGATTCTTAATTTTTTTCCTAATTGTTGCTAAATCTCTGTGTGATTTTGGAACTGCTCCTTCTGACACTTACTTTTTTGTTTCTTCTTTAAAATGAGAAGTTTGTATAAACTAAACATATCTTTAATATCTTATTTTATTTAGTATTTGTATTTAGTATCCCCCACTCATTTTCATTACTGGCTCTACAAATATACTGAGAGTTAACTTTGACAAACTTCAGTCAAGTCAACCAAGTAATTAATCAATGAGGGGCTGGCACCTTGACTTAGTGTACTGTAATTAGAGTCAGCTTGTTAAGATGCACCAGTATTTAAATAATATTCAAAAATAGTTTAGTATGAACATGAAAGAAAGGATTCATTATTGTCATCAAAAGCATATTCACATCTCAAGTAAATGTTTTCATTTTCAGAATGAAAATGAAAGAGCACAGAATAGTATTCAATCCTTAGTCTCACATTGGGCAGTAATCAGATACATTTGTTATTAGTATTTTATGCACTAGTGTTATGAGAATAAAAGTTTTGCTTTATAAATTACTGTCCTATCTGTCATATCACTAGCTGACCTATATTTTTACAAAACCATCGTCAATCATTACAAAAGAATTATGAGAAGATTACAAAACAGGATATGGCCAAACATGGTACTAGCTTTTTAAAATGAAGGAAGTAAACTAATGTTTATTGAACATATACTATGGATCAAACCTTTTACATGTATTATCTCAATTAAATATAAGTCTTCAAAAAAGCACAACTTTATAGAGGAAATGAAAGATAGAATGGCTTGAAATAGAGGTTATGACTTGTACAAGTGGAAGATACAAGATTTAACACAAGTTCTGCCTAAATTGCAAAGCCACGTATTCTTTAAAAGCACAAAACTGATAGTAAAGTAAAAAGTAAATGATAGTAAATTGAAAAGAGGCCTATAGGCCTAGGAGGTTCTATATTCTATTGAACAGAGAGTATAATATTAATTTCTGTCAAATTTTCAAAAATATTATTTTATGACATTTATGTCATTTTTAATGTGTCTGTTGCAATGGCACAACTGATATATTGATTTATTATATCCTGATGTCAGAAAAACAAGTCCCTCATGACATATTTTTTGACAAGTTGAAAATTTATGGACTTAATTATGGCATAAACAGATAGATAATATCTGATTAAACAATTGCACACCCCAAAATGTTAATTGATGGATGTGTCATATAGTAGTTTATAAATCTGGTTCAATAAGTGCACACATGCACACGCAAACATACACTTACTATGGGAATGTGATCTGAATGCTCAGGATCTAGGGTATCAACTGTTCCTGTTTTCCTGTGAATGGAGAGCATTTCCAGAACAAGGTGTTTTCAGTTCTAAAATGGGAAAAATATTTTCCATTATTTATTTATTTATTTATTTATTATTATTATACTTTAAGTTCTAGGGTACCTGTGCATAACGTGCAGGTTTGTTACATATGTATACTTGTGCCATGTTGGTGTGCTGCACCCATCAACTCGTCAAGTACCATTCAGGACATAGGCATGGGCAAAGACTTCATGTCTAAAACACCAAAAGCAACGGCAGCAAAAGCCAAAATTGACAAATGGGATCTCATTAAACTAAAGAGCTTCTGCACAGCAAAAGAAACTACTATCAGAGTGAACAGGCAACCTACAGAATGGGAGAAAATTTTTGCAATCTACTCATCTGACAAAGGGCTAATATCCAGAACCTACAAAGAACTCAAACAAATTTACAAGAAAAAAACAAACAACCCCATCAAAAAGTGGGCAAAGGATATGAACAGACATTTCTCAAAAGAAGACATGCATACAGCCAACAGACACATGAAAAAATGCTCATCATCACTGGCCATCAGAGAAATGCAAATCAAAACCACAATGAGATACCATCTCACACCAGTTAGAATGGCGATCATTAAAAAGTCAGGAAACAACACGTGCTGGAGAGGATGTGGAGAAATATTTTCCATTTTTATAGACAAACAGGAACAAGTTGGTCACCTGATATAGTCTGAATTTGTGTTTCTGCCCAAATCGCATGTTGAATCGTAATCCTCAATATTGGAGGAGGGGGCTCATAGGAGGTGTTTGGATCATGGGGGCAGACATCCTCCTTACTGTTCTCATGATAGTGAGTTCTCACAAGATTTTGTTGCTTCAAAGTGTGTGGCACTGCTCCCCTCTCTCTCTTCCTCCTTCTCTGGCCATGTAAGACATGCTTACTTCCCCTTCACCTTCTGCCATGATTGTAAGTTTCCTGAGGCCTCCCAAGCTGTGCTTCCTGTACAGCCTGCAGAACTGTGAGTCAATTAAACCTCTTTATAAATTACTCAGTCTCAGTTAGTTATTTACAGCAATGTGAGAACAGATCAATACAGAAAATTCATACTAGAAAGTGGGGTATTGCTGTAAAAATAACTGTAAATGTGAAAGCAACTTTGGAACTGGACAACAGACAGAGGTTCAAACAGTTTGGAGGGCTCAGAAGAAGACAGGAATATGAGGGAAAGTTTGGAACTTCCTAGAGATTTGTTAAATTGTTTTGACCAAAGTGCTCATAGTGACATGGACATTGAAGTCCAGGCTGAGGTTGTCTCACATGGAGATGAGGAACTTATTGGGACCTGGAGTAAAAGAAACTCTTGCTAAGCTTTAGCAAAGAGACTGGTGGCATTCTGCTCCTGCTCAAGGAACCTGTGGAACTTTGAACTCAAGAGTGGTGATTTAGGGTACCAGGTAGAAAAAAAATCTAAACAGCAAAGCATTCAAGATTTGGTGTGATTGCTTCATGTGTGGTCATATACATAAGCAAAGAGATTAGCTAAAACTGGAACTTATATTTCAAAGGAAAACAGGGAATAAAAGCTTAGGAAATTTTTAGTCTGACCATGTAGAATTCCTCTCCCCATGTTTGGGAGAGGAATTCAAGTCACTTCAGAAATTTGCATAAGTAAAGAGGAGCTGAATGTTAATAGCCAAGACAATGGGGAAAATGCCTTGAAGGCACTTCAGAGACCTTTGTGGCAGCCCCTCCCATCACAGGCCTGGAGGCCTAGGAGGGAAGAATGGTTTCCAGGGACAGGCCTATAGCCCTGCTGCCCTGTGCAACCTCAGGACACTGCTCTTTGTGGCCCAGCTGCTCCAACTCCAACTATTGCTAAAACAGCCCTAGATATGCCTCAGACTTCTTCTCCAGATGGTGCAAACCATAAGCCTTGGCAGCCTTCACGTGGTGTTAAGCCTGTGAGCGGGCAGAGGGCAAAAGTTGAGGCTTGGGAGCTTCCAACTAGATTTCAGATGATGAAAGGAAAAACCTGGATATCCAGGCAGAAGTCTGCTGCAGGGATGGAGCCCTCATGGAGAATCTCTAGTAGGGCAGTGTGAAGCAAAAATGTAGGGTTGAAGCCCCAACACAAAGTCCCCACTAGGGAATTGCCTAGAGGAGCTGTGAAAAGAAGGTCACTATCCTCCAGACCCCAAAATGGTAGATCCACCAACAGCTTGCCCCATGCACCTAGAAAAGACACAGACACTAAATTCCAGCCTTTGAAAACAGCTGCAGGGGCCATACCCTGCACAGCCACAGGGACAGAGCTGCAAAAGTCCTTGGGAGCCCACCCCTTGCATTAGTGTGACATGGGTGTGAGACATAGAGTCAAAGGAGATTATTTTGGAGATTTAATATTTAATGACTGCCTTGCTGGGTTTCAGATTTGCATGGGGCTTGTATCCCTTTGTTTTGGTCTATTTCTCCCTTTTGGAATGAGAGTATTTAGCCAATCACT